GTTGCGTTCAGTGCTTCTCTTATGCGCTCAGTGCTTTCTTCCGGAAACAACGGACCATATGAGATTCCAAGTCACAGTTCAGCTCACGTATCACCGTGTTCGTGGTTTGACTAATCGAGACTGTTTTCCAAGATGGCTGCTGTCTGTATGCGCTAACTGTACTGTCTGTGTAAAGTATCTTCTTATTAAACTGTCTATACACTTACAAAGTTCTCAATGCTTTGGTTTGCATGTAAGGACACTCATTATGCTGCCGTGTTAGTGTGGGGCTAATTTGAGCCTTGTTAATGGTATTAACTAGCGATCTCTTTTTGCTTACTCGATGCCCAATATACTAGCGTTATAAGCTAAACTGTTTTTAGAGATAAAACTCTTTACATTCGATTATCATGAAAACAAATCTCAGGGAACGATTTAGTCTGTACCAATGTGTTATTACACCCGAGGTTCATTTTGCACCGGAGTTGTCCTTTAAGCGCCATTCAGGGCTTGGCTTTATAAACGCCCACGCTCCTTTCTTTTTTAGGATAGCAGCCCTTTAAATCTCATTTAACATTGCTTTTGATTATTGCCGCTTCAGTGAGTGACAGCAAGGTGAAATATCGAGAAAGGCAAGACTTAAATAATGCATGGCACAAGCCTAAGAGGCAGTATGTCAATAAGGCCCTTCAGGATTTGTAGACCCCCAAGTCACAAAGTTATCATATAAAAAAACTAAAGACTTTATTAAAAGTGCTTGATAAAACTTATTATTAATGTAAAAAAAAAATGTGGCTAATGACAAAATTATCTTTCATGCAAGTCTATAGGGCTGCAAAGAGTAGAAGAAAAAGTGCAATGGAAAATGTCATGGTTGATGCAAGATATTAGCATTCATGCGCAAGTGTGCCGTATCCCAATTATGACCCAATAAACAACCTTCTGCCCTTGTGTTTCATTTCAGTACATGGCTGGATAGAAACATAATAAGGCCACAGTAAGCTTTGGTATAAGCTCTTGGTAGTATCTGTTAATTACACTTTGCCGTTTACACTTTAATTATGCTCTCAGCTCTGTTTTATTGTCACGGTTCATAGATTCTAGGCTTAATGGCATAGTCATTATAATGATTGGGTTTAATGTACCCAAGACTTTCAGTCTGAAAACAGTTTGTTCGAGCTTTGTGTCACTGTTCAGACACTCACTCAGATTACACTACTCTGAGCAAACAATCACAGCAAACAGCTAATCATGGCATGAATATGTATAAAAGGATGCTCATGGTGTTGAATCCATAGACCTGTTTAGATTTGCTATGGACTGCAGTGACTCATAAGACACAAGTATTTATTTTCTTGTTTGAGAATTGGTAAGGGAGGCACCTGCGAATGCAACACAGTAAACCAAAAAACAATGTAGTTTTCAAATAAGTGTCTTTGACATCTGCTTTTTTTTGCAAAGCATATAGATGTGCTTTTTCTGCATGGATCATCATTATAATTCAGCTATCAAGTGTTAACTTTATCGGCAAACTCAGATTGCAAACACTGAATATTTATTCGGTGACAAGGCCATGACTTGGGGACACTAAGCCATACATTTTAGATCAGTCTTGGATTGGTTCAGTGAATAACAATTTGATTTACTTTAGGAATGTTCAGACCCTCTAGATATTTGTTGCTGTATCAGCTGAAACATATAGGAATTTGGCTGTTTGTAGACCAGCATTTTTTTATTTATTTTTTAGAATGCAGAACCCTTCGTTTTTAAACAGCGGGTGCCCAACAGAACTTTAGGATAAAAGTATAGACTGATAAATTCTTTAGATATGTTTTTTTTCTTCTTGTGAAGTTTCTACATGGACGTCTGACTTAAATAGGCCACCTGCCGGGAAATATCCATTTTGGAGGGCGGGGGTGGTGGTTTGTCCCATTAGCAGATGTCAGGGCGACAGTAAAAGAGTCATTGCCTTAGGCAGTCCTTGAGTCATACAAGAAACTTGACTTTTTATAGAGAAAAGGAAGTACTCGGAGATGAATGTAGGATGGTAGGCAGGAATGGAATGGCCAAAGGGAACACTGCGACTTTTTCAGATGGCCTCTTGTGGGCAGGATATCCAAACCAATTTACATATACAAAGCAAATATATAATAGGATATAAAGGGAGGAAAAAGCTCACAGACTGGCATACAAGCTGCAACGATGGTGTAGTCTCAGCCTCAGACGTCACATCCATGGACCGTTGACTGAACGTCTGATGCATATGGCACAGAATAGTTTCTATGTAAATCTGATTGGTTGAATTCTCCTGAATATCCGGGAGATGTGTGTGTCACGTTCTTTAATGGTCAACCTGGAAACAAAGCTGTCATGATGCCAACCCCCCTTATGGAAGAAGAAAGCCATTGTGTTTAAAACTGTGACAATGAGTGCTTATCAGGATCAACTATTCACTGGGTTTTTAAAAGTATGGGAAGTTCACAGCATTATTGTTGTGCCATTGTTGCTGTAAACTTGCACTACATTCTTGAATGAATTGCACGCCAGCCTGTTATTGTGGGGACATCGACTTAACATTGTCACACCCCTAAACATAACGCTGAACAAAACGTGTGACTGGTTGCTTTACATGTCGGTCGGTCAGACATCCTCTTGAGCAATCCTTGGCCAATGAAAGCTGCAATTGAATCCAGACCTTCTGCCGTCGGTCTGAAGGTCTGGCTACCCGAGACTACAATCTCCCAGTACAAATCGGCAGAGTAATTAATTGCAACGTTCAGTAGATGTGATGTGAATCAAGTTCATTGAAATCCTGTTACTTAGTTACTTAGAAATTCACTTTGTTAATATGATATTACTATTGTCAGACTCACTCTATTTCTATGTGTGGAAGTTGTCGCCAACAGAAAGCACTCAGCCGTGAGTCCTCATACTGGCTGGACAAGCTATTATGATTCTCCTCAGCTCTGAGGTTTGAAGCAGACACAGCAAAATAAGAGATTTTAACAGAACAGTGTTTGAAAAAGAGGCATGATTCACTGTAGGGAGGTGTGAACCTGAGAAATACTCAAAGATCTAACTGGTTTCAAAATGCAATCAAATGTGCCCCCATTACTTAGATTATTTTAAATAAGCATGCTTTTCCAGGATCTAAACATTGAATTTTTTATTGTATAATTTTGTTGTTTAAAGTGTTGTATTAAAGATTAAAATATTAAATACAACATATTAAAACAACAATTTGAGAAAAAAATAAATAATAATAAACTATTAATAAATACAAATAAAGTAACATTTTATTTTAAATATAGTATACATATTTTATTTAAAAGAGTTTGAATTATAAGCATGTGATAGTGGGGAATTATTGCACTGTTTTGGGGTCCCAGGCTATCACTTATGATAGAGAAGGGTAGACGGACTGCAAAGAAATGTAATTAGCTATATGTGTGTTTGATGCCGTATACGGTAAATCAAAGCATAACAGAGAACTCACCGTAAATGTGTAGCATTGATGATTTGTGCATTCCTTGACAAACATCCCTCTCAGATTCATGCATAGATCTACTGCGCCATGAGGAAAATCATGTCAGTCACATCCTGGCAGCCAGCACATTATACTATGCTAAGTAGAGCGCGGATGAAAAGACTGTGACAACACAACAAAGTTGTGCTGATAAAACAAGCATTTGAGTGCAGTCAGGTGGCAATCAGAGTCTTGTTTGGTGTAATTAAGAAATTTCTCTGATGAAAGGCCCTTTTTCTCCCTTTTAAACCCCTATAAACGACGCTTCCAAAGGAACGTTCACATCACAAACAGCACATCTGTGCTAACGCTTCATGGTTCTCAACTCTGCCCGCAGACTCACCGGGAACCGCAGAGCAGCGGCCCTTGCTGCCATTGCCATTACTTGAGCCAGGGAAAAGATGTGCGATTGCCAATTACAGGGCTGGGGGGTTATGTTGCACAGTGGAGGAAACAATCCTGCACATTTGAAGCAGATGTGAGGACCGGATGGTGAATGGTGCAAAACAGCTGCTGCCCGTTGCTTTCTTGTCAATTTAGCCATAAGACAATTTGAGTAACATGCCCCTGTTTTATTAGCCCCGGCTCCGAGCCGTGCATCAGCTGGTGACGCATCAGGGCAAGGGAGCGGTGAATATGACATTGTAGAATAGGTTTTCAGGGTGTCAGAAGAGTACGGTGTCAGAATAACTCACAATTTGTCGTCAATTGAAAACACTTGGCCATGCATCCTCACATTGGTTAGACCAGGGTGTTATGATTCTCCTCAGCTGTGAGGTTTGAAAAGGACAAAGAAAAACAGAATATATCCACAAGCAAGCTTTATTAACTAGAAGCTCAAACCAGCCTCTAGTTCAACTAGGAATGAAATGGTTTCTGTTTAACGATAAACCACGATAACATTTTGATGATTAGTATTATAGCTTCATATTTGAATTATCATTAAACTTATTTGATTACTGTGATTTGAAAAACTGTAAATACTGTCCAGCATTAAGCATAATGTTTGCCATTTTTGATCAGACCAATCCGAAAATCGGACCAAATTTTTATGCACTGCTGTACATTTTAACCGGGTGATGGAAAATAAGCTAATGTGGATTTTAAAAATCGAAACAAATCGGATAATAAAGTAACTCATCTCTTTTGTTAAACATTTAAAGGCTGAAATGTGCACAGAAATTTTACTTTTATGTTGTAAGTCACTCAACCAACATTTTTGGTTCATTTAAAATCTGGCCATCATTGTTTTTAATGTTTTTTAATTTTAATTTTTGGTTCATTTAAAATCTGGCCATCATTGTTTTTAATGTTTTTTAATTTTAATGTTCATGTAAAAAAAAAAAAAAAAGTGCATAGTGCTGCTATTTGTTGATTTTTGTGGACAACTTCACTTGGTGAAATGATTTCAGTGTGTGTACCGTTTCATCTCTAATCTCAACAAAGGTTTTTTTTTGTGGAGAGTCATGTGGCTTTCGTTTTTTTTCTTCCTAAGGAGCTGAAAGCATCACTCGTCTGGGTGTGGTTGCGGTAAGAGGATGAGGATTCTGTTGTGTCTGCTGTCTCTCAGCTCTCTGGTTCTGAGCTACGCATTGGGTAAGTATGATCAAGGGCCGGTTGCATAAACTCCTAAGACTGGTTTTACAAGTTAACCTTCACATTCTTTTCTTTAAAACTGTTCATAACTTTTAAGTCAGTTACATAAAAACAGAGATTGGTCTTATTTAATACTAAAAAGTAAGATTGATTGCCCCTTGACTAACCGCTGGTTGGTCATGCTAGTACTTAAGACAGTCTTAACATAATGGCTATGTTTATGTCATTGTCTCCCATCATCTCATCTCATTTAAGATCCCATTTGCAAACATACTTAGTAGGTCTTGCTCAGCCCTTCCCCCATTAGCCAAACTTCGTTACCACTCACCCGTTGTTTTTTTCTGTATTCCCTCTGCTCCAGCATTTCCTTGTTAAAACATCATTGAAATGTACGTTGTCACTTTGATGGTGTCTGGGATGTGTGGTTTTAGGGTTGTGCATCAGTGGGGGGGCCACAAATTCAGATTAATTATTCATTGTGTTATCTTAGATCAGTGGGCAGAAGGGATTTGATTTACTTGAGAGGTGTTTTTGTCAGCTAAAGTAATCCCGGCCCTATTAAACATTGATAAAAATGTGGTTCTGTCCATAATGCTATTAACTTGGCAAACGGCACTCTAGTCAAAGTTGTCCTAGTCTCACAGGCGTAAAATGTGGTCCATTTTGCAGAAAATTGTGGCCAGAAACCGCCGTCTGACCAACATAAGTGACTAATCAATCAATGCGATCATATCTTTTCAGAAAATTTGGACTAAATTCATATTGTTTTACGATCTCTATGAACTTTTTAAGCATCAAAGTGGTAGTTGCGTAGCTGTCAATGGAGGGACAGATATCTCTCAGATTTGATTAAAAATATCTTTATTAATATTCCATTGAACGAAAGTCTTACGGGTTTGGAACGAAATTAGGAACTAACCCCTTAAAATAACTGTTTTCTGTTTTAATATATTTTAAATAGTAATTTATTCCTGTGATGGCGAAGCTGAATTTTCAGCAGTTATTACTCCAGTCACATGATCCATCAGAAAATTCGAATGCGCTGATTTGGTGCTTAAGAAACATTTAATATCAATGTCGAAAACATTTGTGCTGCTTTCCTGCTTAATATTTTTGTGGATTTTTTTTCATGATCCTTTGAATAGAAAGTAAAAAAAGAGAAATAGAAATTGTCAGTGTAAACAACAAAACTGTGTAATGGGCATGGAAAGGAACAAATAATTTGAGAATATACACAAACACACTTATTCTCAAATAAATTATGCTGAGAAAAATATCCAGGTACAAATGTTTAATCGCAGGCATTTAGATTGAATTGGCTAACAAAACAATTACTGTGTTTTAGTCTATTACACAGAAGTAACTACACAAAGAGACTGTGATGATCTGTTGAGAGACTTAAGAGACCGTGGAAAAAAACTTAAGTGGCAGTTTGGATCTGTTTATCCCCATTACTGGAAGCAGCCAACACACCACTGAAAATCACTGTTATCTCAGAGCAGAAAACCTCCCGGGTAGCCGGTTCCCCTTCTCAACTCATCTCTCCTCCTCTGCCTCTCTCTTATTGCCCTAGATTCCTGTGGGTCTCACCAGAACTGCATACACACACTCATTTGAACACACACATGCATGCATACAATATACACACATGTGCATGTAGATCTCCAATGAATTTTAAATGACAAATTTATAAATCTAAGCGCACACACAGTCACTGAAAAAAAATCTGAATCTATGAAATTCTATTAAAATCTATTAAAAATATTTTGTCATGTTTTAAGAATGGGTTACTCTTAAAATCCACAAGATAAGATTTGTTTCAGAGACATTTTTCTTCCTAAAAATTCTGTTTACTCAAATCCATCACAAACTTCATTTAACACACAGTCCCAAATCCATAAGAAACACCCATTTATTTAAGAGTAAAAAAAAAAAAAGCCAAATTCCAAACCCAAATCCGCATACTGAGACAAATGCGGTCCCAAATAATCCAAACTCATTCTTTACCCAATTCATAATGCATCAGATGGCAACCTGGAGACTTTACTGTATGTCTTCAAACTCCCCTGTTCCCCTCGTTCTGTCAAAATATCTGAGTGCATGCAATTATATCTGACAGTTTGAATCCCCTGCTGACTTTCCCCGGGTGGAGAACATTCCCACTCTGAGTGCAAATTCACTGGAGTTGTTAGGCACGCACAGCCCTCCTGTATCTGTCTGTTTGGCACAGTACACTAGCTGACAAAGAAGGCAGAACAAAAGCCCTGAGCATGACTAAACTACTTGATATACATTACTCTCAAGGATATTTTACTACACCCCTGACTTTTATTTAGAGTGCTTTTAATAGTTAATCATCCGGGGATAGAACCAGAAGGTTGTTGGTTCAAACATCATTATGTTAAAAGGCCATTAACACTACAATCTTGACTCAAATTTGATATATAAAGAACCTGTTTTGTTTGACTAAAAAGCATTTTTTTGTGACAATGTTTGTTGAAATGTTTCTCTCAGACAGTGTTTGTGTGCACGTTTTTTTGTAGGTGGGGATGTGTGCGTGTCTGGTCACGACAGTGGGCCGGTGTTTGAGGAGCAGCCGTATAGTCTGATTTACCCTGAGGGGATGCCAGAAGGCAAGGTGACCCTGAGCTGCCAGGCTCGCGCCAGCCCTGCTGCTATTTACCGGTACTCAGATCAGATTTTTGTCACTTACACCTTATTGAACAAAACAAGGCCTTTACTTCATTTGTATGACCTATCCCTTTACACAGACATTGTAGAAAATATTTTTACAAAAATAAACATCAAAAAAAAAAAAAATCGAAACATCCTTTAATAAGATACTTTAATGAGCGAGAACGTTTATTTGAAATAGAAATCGTGTGCAATATTCTAAATGCCTTTAATGTTATGTTTGATCAATTTAATGCATCTTTTCTTTGCTGAATAAAAGTATTAATTTCTTTTAAAAAAAAACTTTGTAATGCAATTCTTAAAGTTTCCTTGCACATTGGAATTTTTTTATGAAAAATAAACCTGATCTTGATATATTCTCTGAAAACATGTTTCAATATACAAGTTTGCTTCTCAAGTATTTACAAACCTCCCTATTTTTAGGAGGTTAAAATATTTCTAGACAAAAACAAAGGCAAAAATTGTGAAAAAAACCATTATGTATGCTGTTCCCAAAATGTACCACTTTTTTGCCAAAATTAAATAAATAATTGATTATCCACTTTTTGACAGTCTTCTGGCTATTGAATGGCTATCTTGTATGTGATTTCTCACAGGTGGCGTGTGAACGGCACTGAAATAGCATTTGTTGAGGATTCGCACTACACACAGGTTGCAGGAAACCTTGTGATCAATAATCCCCAGCATGGGCGAGATGGTGGGTCATACCAGTGTCTTGCCATCAACCGCTGTGGCACCATTGTAAGCCGTATGGCTAACCTCAAATTTGGCTGTGAGTACAACTCAAACAATTATCGTTGTCCAAGTGTGAAAATTAGACCTTTCTGAATAAAAGAAAGCAGATGAAATGTCACACTACCGCTCTAAAAAATGTGTGTTTTTTAGATCTCCATGATTTCCCCCCTGAGAGCAGAAGCCCTCAGACGGTCCATGAGGGTATGGGAACCTTTCTTGCCTGCCAGCCACCAGCTCATTACCCAGGTATCCACATACACGATTATTTAGCAAAACCTTTCACTCTGTGCTATTTATCCAGGTCAGTATATTTATTTCATCAAATGTGTTACATCTTGCATCCATTTGCTTCCACCAAGCTTTGTCCTACCGCTGGTTCATCAATGAGTTCCCCAACTTCATCCAGCCAGAGGCGGGCAGATGGTTTGTTTCTCAGGTGACGGGTAACTTATACCTTGCTAATGCTAGAGCCAATGACACGGGCAACTATTTCTGCTTCACCACCATCAATATGGACATCAGCACCAAGAGCATCTTCAGCAAAGCTGTCCAACTCACTGTTTACCCTGATGGTTAGTTCAAACTAAGATCTGTATTTCCCTCTGAAACAAGAAACAAGCTCAACTACCTGCTGTTATCAAAATGAAAACAAAAAACAAAACCCTCTTATCTTGTTTTTTTCCTTGATTCTACAGCAAACCCAAGGAAAGCCGCCCCGAATATCCGAGTGCGTTTTCCTGCTGAGACATATGCATTATCAGGACAAACTGCACAGCTTGAATGCTTTGCCTATGGCAAGTAAGTCCCCTTTAGCTTCCCACTTCCCTTCGGAGATCACTGCTGCATCGGTTCAACATAATCCATAACTCAGTCAGCTATAAAATTTTTACTTTTTTCTCTAACATCATCTTGTTTGCTCTTTACTTTCCTCCCTTAGTCCCATTCCTAAAATCCGCTGGAGGAAGGTGGATGGGATTTTGCCCCCTAAGGTTGGAGCAAGTGCGGAAAGACCCATTTTAATTATTCCTGATCTGAATTTTGATGACGAGGGCATGTATGAGTGTGAAGTTTACAACTCAGAGGGTCGTGAGACACATCAGGGACGCGTCACTGTGCAAGGTAGGCATGATGTCAGAACTAGACTTATATAAATATCCTTTCCTCTTGTTAACTTTAGTAGATGTTTGATGTGACATAAAACGTTGTGTATAACAGTGTTGATATTGTTAATTAAGAACAAATAAAAATTATTTTCATTGAAATAAAATAAAATATAATTATTAGATAAAAAAATTAAAGTGCCGCTATTATGCAATTTTAAATGTTCCTAATTTTCTTTGGTGGTCTCCTACAATAGGTTTACATGCATCCAGGGTAAAAAAGAAACACTTTAATTTTCTCTTAATATACATTGCAGCATCACTTTTTTTCTCACAGTGTCTGAAACAGTTCGGATTCAGCCTCTCTAAACCCCTCCTTTCCGAAAGCCTACTCTGCTCTGATTGGTCAGATGGCCCAGTCTGTTGTGATTGGTCTACCACTTAAAGCGTGGGTCGGAAACTAAACCCCCATTACTACTGTATATCTAAATGTTAGCATCGGGGGCTTTCTCAGCACTTGTATACACAGTAATACAAACAATAACGATGGTGTCGTTTTTACTCTATCAATTTGAGAAGTGCATGTAGTGTAGACTTGCTTTTGCATTGCAGAAAACAGTGTCTTTTTGACATGTCAACCACACAAACCCAACTCCACCAGGCTTCAGCCACAACTACAGTGTTTGAGGGTCAAAGTAGATGTTGTTTACGGGCAGCCAATGAAAACCATAGACCGTGCTAATTTGTTTCAAACCTACGTAGGTCCGTGCAGGAAGTGAGACTGGAATTATCATGCGCTTTGAATCTTTGAAACTCTGCAGACCTTTTACATTCACAGACAAGCTATATTACAAACTACATGAAATGTAATATCCGAAAAAGCATAATAGAGGCACTTTAAACTGAAAAAAATATGAATGAAAATTAGAAATGTTGCCTTGGCAATTAACTGAAACAAATTGTTAAATTTCTAAAAAGAAATAAATTAATAAAACTAAAACTTAAATAAAAAATTTAAAGCTAAATTGAAATATAAAAACAAATAAAAATTAGCAAATCAATTTTACAAAATTACAACCCCATTTCCAGAAAAGTTGGGACATTTTGTAAAATGCAATAACATCAAGAATCTGTGATTTGTTCATTCTCTTTAAACTTCATCTAACTGACAAATGTACAAAGAAAAGATTTCCAATTTTTTTACTGACCAAGGTGGCAACACACTCCAAAAAAGTTGGGACAGAGGCATGTTTACCAATGTGTCATCTTCTTTCCTTTTGATTGCACTTTTAAATCGCTTGGGAATTAAGGACACTCGTTGTTGAAGTTTTTTGCCTAATCTCGCCTGATACAAGACAGCTGTTCAACAGTCTGTGGTCGTCATTGTCTGTTTCTCCTTGTCATTATGGGCCACACATTTTCAATAAGTAACAGATCTGGGGCCGTATTCACAAAGAATTTTATCTTACCACTAGGAGTACTCCTAAATCGCACTAAAATATTTTAGCTAGGAGTTTTCTCTTAAAAGTTATTCACAACGCCTTTCAGACCTACTCTTAGTAAGGAAAAATGACAACTCCTAAACTAAGAGTGAGTCTTCGTTGCTATGGATGATGTCACTTCTCATGCACGAGCCTACTCGCAATGATCACGGTGATTGGTTGTTAGATGACAGGGCCATCATGCGGAACATAACACAGACGCAACAAATCATGGATTTAGGACATCTAAATATGTCTGTGTCCTACACAAAATAATAATAGTAATGTCATCGAAATGTTTGTGCAGGCCCCAGTGAAGTGTAATTCTAACAAGGCAGAGAGAGAGAGAAGTCGTGAATTAAATTAAATTAAATCAAGGTAGCCTAATACCCCAATGAAAACCGCCACTTGCCTAATAATGAAAAAACGACACTTGCATTAACACTTGCTTGGTTAATTGACATCCTATTAGCCTAAATAGACTACTTAAAGCAAGGAAATGTTACTCCTATTGAAGTAATTAATGTAATGGTGTGTTCACACCGAACGCGAATAAAGCGTCAAATACGCGTCTATCGCTTGAACATTCGCTCGACTTCAATTTTTTTAACTTGCGCGGAAGACATTCGCGGCAAACGCGTCGCCCAATTCGCGTCATTTGCAACGCCCGGCGCGAATGATGCGCCTATTCGCGTCTTTGCATTGACTTTGTATGTAATCTACTCGCGCAAATAATTAAATTCGCGTTGGGTGTGAACACACCATAATAGTTGAATGACGGTGGATTATGAACTCGCCAAAACGGAAAAGAAAGCCCAACTGGACGCAGGAATGGATCAGTTACTGCTGCTGGCCCAAAAACATAATAAAAGTGAAATTCGGCACTGGGATATCAAGCAAAACTAAGCGTGAGAATGGGAGAGGATTTGTTTGCAGATCAATGCAGCATTCCCGCTTGTGTCGCGGACCCCGGACGACTGCGAGAGGCGGTGGTATGCGATACAATCCTTTGTGAATAGGTCTTAGTGAGTTAGGAGTCCTCTCGACTTCTTTTAAGCTGTCCCAGACTTAGGTGCTACTTTTAGGGCTAAAATGCTTCGTGAATTACTCTTAGTTAAAAAAATTAGGAGTCCTAAAGTTAGGAGTGACACGCCCATTATTTTTAGGAGTTGCTCCTAAATTTGCCAGTTAGGAGCTACTTTTAGCCTTAAAATTCTTTGTGAATACGGCCCCAGGACTCAGTCAATAAGAGTCAGTCTTGCTTCCCAGGAAAGATGTCATCTTGATGGCAGTATATGTCTCTGTACAATCCCAATATACGTCTCCACGTCAAATGGTACCTTCACACAAATGGAAGTCACCCATGCTGTTTGCACTGATGCGCCCTCATACCATGACAGATGTTTGCTTTTGCACCTGTTGCTGATAAAACTCTGGATGGTCCATTTTGTCTTTGGGACTAAGTGGAAATAACGGACAATGCCCGTTTTTCCCTAAACCAAGCTGAAATGTGGACTCATGTGGACTCATCTGACCACAGCACGCATTTCCACTGTGTTTTGGACCATCTGAGATGAGCTCGGGCCCAGAGAATTTAGCAGCATCTCTGCATGGAACTGATTTATAGCTTTCTTCTTGCATAACAGAGATTCAAGTTGCAATTCTTAATGCAGTGGTAGACTGTGTTAAGTGACAACAGTTTTTCAAAGTACTCCAGAGCCCATGTGGCTATATTTAACACAGTAGCATGACAGTTTCTCATGCAAAAACAGTATAACTTGGACATTCTATAATCTTTTCACTTTTATTGTGCCTCTGTCCCAACTTTATTGGAGTGTGTTGCAACCATCAGAATGTGTTTATATTTACAAAATACAATTAAGGTGGTCAGTGAAAACTCAATAAATCTTTTCTTTGTACTTTAGTTAGTTAAATAAAGGTTCAAGAGAATTAACAAATCACTGAATCATGATTTTATTGAATTTTACAAAATGTTTTCTAAAAAATGGGGGTACTAAAATGAAATGAAGTAAAAGCTAACCCAAAATATTAAGAAATAATATAATAGTATATAAATAATACTAAAAGAATTCACTGGTGTATAAGAAATGAAATGAAAACTTTTATCTAATAAGTGGATTGATGTGTTAATCTGCTGGTTTGTGTGTGTTCTCGCTTTCCAGCCCAGCCTGAGTGGCTTCAGGTCATGAGTGACTCTGAGGTGGAAATCAGTTCAGAACTGCAGTGGAGCTGTGCCGCTGCAGGCAAACCAAGACCCACCATTCGCTGGCTCCGTAACGGACAGCCCCTCATCACACAGGTCAGACATACACACACACTTTGGCCGGATCGTCATCTAACAGTGTGTGTGTTATCAGAATTTAACAGGACCTCTTGCTGTCAAGACTCAGACTGATATATGTTAACTCATTTTCTAGAAAACTCTTCATGTCTTGAAGGCAGTGAGATGTGACAGTGAATAACCTGCTCATTATCTTTCTTTAGCCGTAGGTAGATTGACAAGAGGTATGTTGTGTGGCCCTCTGCTGGCGTTAATATGCATGTGCATCATGTCTCTTACACAATCATACTTGTACCTGTGTGCAGGACCGTGTGGAAGTGAATAATGGACGACTGAGGATCGGGAACCTCGCTCTGGAGGATTCCGGGATGTATCAGTGTGTGGGCGAAAACAAACATGGCACCATTTACTCAAACGCTGAGCTCAGAGTTCAAGGTGAGCACAACTGAATCGCAACATGAAAACATATCAGAATATTATTTCATAAACATTAACATGTTTCTCTTATTATCTACCTTAATGCACTTCAGATCCCCTTCTGCCCACCCAGTCATGCCTGAACCCCAGTTATAATATGATCTGTGTTTAAATCCTCTTTGTGTGGTTACCCATCTCCCTTCCTGCCTCGTCCTGTCACCCTATTTCAGTCCAGGCTCCAGACTTCAGGTTAAATCCAGTGCGTAAGCTGGTTCCTGCTGCCCGTGGTGGACAGGTTAAATTGGAGTGTAAACCTCGGGCGGCTCCCAAACCCACTCTCTTTTGGAGCCGTGGCACAGAGCTACTGACCAATAGTACTAGGTAATCCAGTAATAATTAAGTGTTTCAAAGACCTCCTAAATGTTTGGAACTCAATATATTTAGTTTTTGCTTTGTGAGTTTGTTTGAAGATGCTTTGAGTACAGTGATGTCAGAAAGACCATATGATGAACTCTGTCCAGGATAACAGTCACTCCAGACGGGCTTCTGTGGATATTCAACATCAGTCGTGCCGATGAGGGGAAGTACACCTGCTTTGCAGAAAACTACCTTGGCAAGGCCAACAGCACAGGGCACCTGTCTGTCAGAGGTAACAAAACCTTATTTCTTTGATTTACCTATTTTAAAGGTCTCAGGTTATCTGTTTTGCACAGATTACTCTGAAATGTGTAATATCACATAAAACCCATAAACAGTGTTTTGTTATTTCGGAAAGGTCATTAACGGTTAAGAAAAATATGTACTGTTCTCGACACACCTAGACTTTTTAGCCTAGCTCCAAGTAAACACTTGTATCATCTGTCTGTCTGCATATTCATTGTGCACTTATCTTCTGTTATGTCTCATTTTCGGCTTATTGATCTGCGTGTAAACCTCTAAAATGCAATTTTTAGTAGTCATCAGCATTTTATTGTGGACTCAAATGCTTTCAGTGTATAAATATGTTTTTCATCTTGTTCTGTCAAACAGATGCCACAAAAATCACTCTAGCACCCTCTAATGCTGACATCAATCAGGGCGAAAATGTCTCTCTGCAATGCCATGCGTCACATGACCCTACTATGGACCTCACCTTCACCTGGACCCTCAATGGAGCTCTGTTGGACCTAGAGGAATCAAATGGACACTATCGGCGCATGGAGGGGGTGAGCACTTGGCTTGAAAGGGTGTTTAAAAACTGTAAACTTTTTTTCAGGATTTTTTTATGAACAGAAACTAAAATATTTCTTATTCGAAATAGAAAACCCTTGTAACGTTATAAATGCTTTTACTGTCTGTCACTTTTCGTCCGTTTGATGCTTCCCTGCTGAATAAAAGTATTAGTTTTGTTAATAAAATATTTAAAATAAATAAATCTTACTTTAGTAACTGTATGTTAGTTTGATTTTGTACTGCATGGTACTGATTTATTCAGAGTGCAGCTTGAGAGGGGTGTTATTGATTTTTTTTAAGCAATTTGACTATTTGCCTGGCAGATGATAATATAACAACAAATCCCATAAATGAAACCCAAGTTATATCTAGGGAAGATCATAGAGACTTAACACTTTGCTGTGCCATAGAAATAGCATAGCAACATGCTAACAACAACTTAGAGCACTTTAGTAACCACATAGCTGTTACACTCTAGCATGCAAGCAAATACCACTTCTTCATAAAATGTAAAAAAAATCTAGTTATGTTCTTAATATTTAAAATAAGAAAGAATAGTAAAACCATCTGAATTTGTATTCCAATAGCACCAAGCTTCTCTCACACTCTGAGATTAGCTTTAATAGGATTCACTTCAAAGTAAATCCCTTTTAGACATGATACATTTTAAAATCCAAATCTGAAGCCTCGAAGAATTAGGCATTTAATAAAAAAAAAATATAATAAATGGTTTTATGAAGTGAAAGTGGGCTAATACTCCTTTTTAAATAAAGTTTACTTTTCTTTTCACTATCTCTATACAGAAAGAGACGATCGGTGACCTGGTGATTGTGAACGGACAGCTCAGTCATGCTGGCACATATACTTGCACGGCCCAGACGGTGGTGGACAGCGCGGTGTCCTCGGCCAAGCTAGTCGTAAGGGGTGAGGGCTTCCAGCTGGCTGAGCAGTGACAGAGACCTTATTAAAACTCATTCTTGTGTTTTACCTCAGCTTCATCGTTTTTGGCCAGACAACTCTCTGCATTCAGCCCTGTGAGAATTGATGAAACGTAGAGTCATGAAATATAAATTTAGCAGATCTATATCCTGGGGGATTGGTTTCCAAAAGCCTGTTTGATGCTGATTTTTTTTTTAAAGCAACCCCAACTACACTGCTTTGACAATGTTTTTGCTGTGTGTGTATGAATATGAATGTGTGACAAAACTGTTGTAGATTCTCTGGCAAAGCTGAATGTTTCTCTCTTTATAGGCCCACCAGGACCTCCTGGAGGTTTGGTGGTGACTAGTGTCAACGACACATCGGTTGAGTTGAGATGGAGCCGTGGATATGACAACCACAGTCCCATTGGCAAGTATATCATCCTGGGCCGCTCCTCACAGACTCACGACTGGAAGAGGATGAGGACAGGTGAGGTTACGAGTCCTTTAGGTGTCATGCAAACACAACAGCTGCACAATGTTATAATGAACAATTTTGCATAATTATTTTTACAAGGATGCTTTTAATCAAACATATGTTGTGAATTATGAATACATTTGTTTATTAGAGCAGGATTTCTCAAACTTTTTTGATTTTTTGTTTGGTTTGTTTATAACCCCAAACTGTTCACAGTCCCTCACTTGCATAAAGCATTGCAAATGATATAATCAAATCGGTCTTCCCACTCTGTCAATCAACTTTGCAATCTTGCATTCTCAGCATGAACTTTTTAGATATTGGAATATTTTGAAATATTAGTAATGTTTTATAATATTTCTTTTTTAATTTATGATACATGTGACCCTGGACCACAAAACCAGTCACATGGGTATTTTTTTCAATTTCATCTCTATAGATAGAGATGAAATTGAGATTGAGATTGCTGAATAAATAAGCTTTCCATTGATGTATGGTTTGTTAGGATAGGACAATATTTGGCCGAGATACAACTATTTGAAAATCTGGAATCTGAGGGTGCAAAAAAAAACTAAACATTGAGAAAATCGCCTTTAAAGTTGTCCATTTATGTTCGCAATTGTGCTGCATTCACTCACAAAAATAAATGTTTTATATATTTATGGTATATTTATTTCATATATATTTATGAAAATGTACAAAATATCTTCATGGAACATGATCTTTACTTAGTATCCTAATGATTTTTGGCATAAAAGACAAATTGATAATTTTGACCCATACAATGTATTGTTGGCTATTGCCACAAATATACCCGTGCGACTTGTGACTGGTTTTGTGATCCACGGTCACATATTTCAAATATTTCATTAAACTATTAGAATAAAATAATAAAATATTACAATATCTCATAAAAAATATGTTGATTTTGTTTTTGGCAGGGTTAATTTCACCATTCAATTAGATTTCGATTCACAAGTTATTCACTTCAATTCTGATTTTGATTCAATATTGATTAACTGGGTTATGTATGAGTACAGTACATGGCAAATTTTCTCATGAACAAAAAAGCAAGAAAATATTTGAACTAATGCTGTAAACTGTACAGGTAACCCAAGTTGATACATTACTATGATATTAAAGCTACTTACATTTAAATTACACATAAGCAAGTTTTTGTAACACTTTATTTTACAGTGTCCTTTACATATCTTGCATGTACTTAACATAGTAATAACAGTAAATTGTGCATAATTAAATGCAACTAACCCTAAACCAAATGTAGTTCATTAATATTACTCAGTACTTAAATCTATAATTACACTGTAACAATGACACCTTAAAATAAAGTGTAACCCAAGTTTTTATAATAATAACATTATATTCATTACAACTTATTAACATTATATTAATAACAACCCGCGGGGCTATTTGACAGAAGCCATCCAGAATGCCAGTTTGTGAAATTTATTTGTATTATAGCATGATGTAATCCTGATGATGTTTGCCTGTCATTGTGTGCTAATGGTTCCTCCAGACCCTGCAAACATAGAAGGAAATGCTGAATCTGCACTTGTGATAGATCTTCGACCCTGGATGGATTATGAGTTCCAGGTCATTGCTAGCAACATCCTGGGAAGTGGAGAACCAAGCATGCCCTCCCAGCCTGTCCGAACCAAGCAAGCAGGTCAGAACCATTACAAATGTGTTGGTGTTACACAAAACTTTTACTGAATTAGAACCAAAATGACATAAAATATTAGTGAGGTTTCACATATAAATATGGTTGGTAGATAGTAGGGTATTTTTTCCTCTGTATAAGTGGGTTATTATTTTGTTTTGCAGCACCAACTGTGGCGCCCAGCGGACTTGGTGGAGGTGGAGGAAACCGTAATGAACTTATCATTACATGGACTGTAAGTGCCACAGACCTCTGTTGCTCTAATTGCATATAATATTTGATTTATACCTTAAATCAATGTGTCTTTATTACTCAACCCTCACCTTCTATTACATAAAAAAACGATTTCTTCTGGTATGAATTACAGCCCATGGTCAGGGAGTATCAGAATGGAGATGGCTTTGGGTATATTCTGGCATTCAGAAAGCAAGGCATGCCAACATGGACGGTGGTGAGGGTTCCACACGTGGAGTCATCACGATATGTTTACAGCAATGAGAGTCTGTCAGCCTACTGCCCTTTTGAGGTCAGAATCAAGGCCTACAACAAGAAAGGAGAAGGTCCCTTCAGCCAGATTGCTGTAGTACACACTGCAGAAGAGGGTGAGAGAAATACTACAAAGGATTATGTTTTGTGTAATATTCATTATATTCTGATTGCTTAGACATTGCTTAATCACTAGAGGGCAGACAATGGAGACAGTGGAGAAACGTCTCATAGAAACGTCTAAAAGGTCACACAATGATACAATTTTCCTCTGTCATCTGAGATAAGATAATTTATTACACTATGTGAGTTTATTGTGCTATGAATGCATATTGTAACTTTTAGATCTCAAAATTTCCTCACAAAAACATTGAAACAGTGTTGCAATAATTTCTTGCCCAGAAGTTCTGCAATGTCATACAGATGACACACAATCACTCACATTTACACATACCAGTTTTGTGTTCAGATAGTGAGGTAGTGAAAGTTTTTTTCAAAAATGTGCAAATACACCAAACTTCTCTGCATATCCTTTCGATATTTTATGATTGTTAGATTATTTTATGCATGTGTCACAGTATAATGCTGGCTTTAAAAAGAGGCTGTTAATGAATTAAGACAGTGCAAATTATATTGTAACCAACATCAAAACATGCAAGTCGTGTGTTAGTGCTGCAATATGCACGTGAAGAGGGAGTTTACATAATTCAAAGGGTCAGAGAGAGGGTGAAAAATGACCTACAAATAAATTATGACGGTTTATTTGACATAAAAAATGTTACCAGTCTAAAAAGATTAAATGATGAACAAATGTATGATATTATCACGTTAATGCCTCATAACTGATAGTCATCTTTATGTTTTCTGATCTTCCTTAGAACCTACTGTGTCCCCACGAAGGATTAATGCCACTGCTTTGACAGCTTTTGAGATTCAAGTGTCCTGGGACCCCATTCAACATCTGAACATTAATGGAGTACTTCGGGGTTATGAGGTCAGTACAGACCCATTATTTTAATATCTCTAACATCTCTTTTTGTGGATAGATAAACATATAGCATGACGGAGTTGAGGGATGTTTTGGTGACCATTGTGTGTCGTTGGCCACCTGAGGTGGCACGTCAAGATATGTGAGCTTTGCCCCATGAGCGAGCAACTATTCGAGGTGCTGCTATCTCATTAGTTCCTTTTTATGAACCGCACGTCTCGATCAGATCAAGGAACATTATTTAGATAAGACGCCTCCTTTTAGATAAAACCGTGCTTTGAAATTCACTGGTATCAAAGGGTATTTTTTGCAGCTTATATTTAATTGAATCTTCTAATACATAACATTGATTTTCATAATTTTGCATCTTTCAGGAGCAAAATATGAATCCATTATTTGTTATTTTTGAGTACAGAGTATCCATTCTGGTTGTTTTCAGTGTGAATAAGCTTGTCACTCGATTAAGATTGCCAACTTGCTCTGGTTACAGATTCGTTACTGGCGACAACATGAACGCGAGGCAGCTGCGGACCGAGTGAGAACTGCTGGGCTGGAGAACATGGCACGAGTCACGGGTTTGAGGCCAAACACTCTTTATCACGTCACCGTATTGGCCTACAACAGTGCAGGCACTGGCCCACCCTCCCCAAGAACCACTGTCATCACCAAGAAACCTCGTAAGACCTCATTTTCAGGCTCGGGGAGCATTGGTGGCCTAGCTAAAATGATTTACATGAGTAGAACATGTTTCTGGAGACTTCTGGAACATTTTTCCTAACAATCTTCACCCAAACGCTACCTAGCTGGCAAATGACCGAACTTCAGCTTCGAAATGTGATTGAAAGACTCTCAGTTGGTGTTTTAACATTGATAGTATGTTGAAACAACATTAAAATAATGTTTAATACTAAATGTTGTAAATAGGTTAACAAAATACTTAGAAAGTCAACACTGAAATTAAAGATCTGTACAAAAAATAAGACATTGAAACAACGTTGTGATATCAACATTGATACGATTTGCTAAATTTTAAATTAAATCAGAGGGCAGTGGTTGATAAGAATGTTGTTCCAGGAACAACAAAGGTTGATTCATGTCCAACTTGCATAAGCTAGTAGTTTAATGGTGGAAAAGTTGAGAGAAGTAACAGTTCTTGTTGCATCGCATCACGATGTCGTGATATTTTGAGTTTTCTTAACTTTTCATTCTGTAAGTTGCCCTCTTTGCAGTTGACTCAAAACTATGGAAGCTTGTTTCCGCTACAGAATAAAACATTTTCAAATATAATTGTGACTTTTTATCGTGATATAATTGTGAAATAAACTCGAAATTTTGACTTTTTTCTCAGAATTCCATGTTTATATCTCGCAATTGCGAGATATAAAGTCAGAATTACATTTTATAAAGTCGCAATAGCGTGTTATAAAGTCAGAATTGTGAGATATAAAGTCAGAATTGCAAGAAATAAACTCGCAATTCTGACTTTATAACACTTAATTGCGAGTTTATATCTCACAATTCTGAGAAAAGATGTCAGAATTGTGAGATAAAAAGTCGCACTTACCTTTTTTATTTTTTATTCTGTGGCGGAAACAAGCCACCAAACAGAACTGCCTTCATTTTTATCCTGGAGAAAAACTGATAACTGTTACTTCCTTAACTGTTCAAATGCCACCACCAGTCCTGCATGTTATTCACAACTTTACATTTGCAGTTCTTGCCAATGTCTTTGTCACTGAGAATGGTGTGAAAGCCAGTGGACTTACTTTTGCTTGTATCTTCATTTCTAGCCCCCAACCGCCCCCCAGGTAAAGTCGCATGGAAGGTTGCTGGTTCTTGGGTTACTGTGAGGTGGGATCATGTTAAATCCATGGACAATGAGTCTGCTGTTCTGGGTTACAAAGTGAGTGACACACGGTGCCACCGGACACTACAGATATTTGTTTGTTGTGTACATGTTTGTATTGGGTCATCTGTCTGCGTCTGTATGTCTTCAGAATATTTGATCAGATTCATTCATTTCAATCAAAGGTGGGATATTGTATATGGTAAGAATTTAATAAATGGTGGCCTAATGTCACGTGAGAAGAGAACACGTGTCGTATTTTATGGAAAACCAGACCACCAACCCTATGTGCCCTTTAACAGTGAATAAACATTTAAACCAGTTGTGTATATCTCATATCTGATCTGCTATAGGATTGAGGTCATCTTTTGTCAAGATGGCTATCAAGAGAACATATATAGATTCCCAGAAACTGATCAAATACTGTATATACCTTAAAAGTTACTTTGGATACAAGCGTCTGCTAAGTACATACATTTTGGAAATTTTTAACTTAAAATTAACCAAAACATGCAAGACATTTGCATATTCACTGTTTGGGAAACTCTACATTAGGATATACTTCATTACTGTAACTTCTGTCAGAAAATCACCTGTAAATATAACTTTTCTCTTCATTTGCAGATGAATTTCTCTTCATTTTTCAGAGTTAATTTTTTTACAAAGAAACTCATTGGCTCGTGTTAAACTATAAAAGATAGTAATGAGAGCCAATTCAATATGTAAAACAAAAGGGGAAATGTTTACAATACGTTTCAGAGTTTTTTACATGTTTTTCTTTTTTTTAATTGATTTCAGTTCCTGTCTAGAAATTCTGTAAGCACAATTGTGAAATATATAAAGATCTTTATATAAAGTTGGACATATAAGTCTATCCAACTTTATCCGCATACATACACTACACTTGAGTAAGGCGACATATATTATTTAGCTAATCTAAACTGCTTGATTGCTTGTATCGTCGCAAAATGGAAACTATATTTTTGCCAAGCTCAAGGCATGAAGATATTAAGATATTATAAACAATAACATCATGATTTTCTGTAAAGCTGCTTTAAAACAATGTTTATACCGTAGTGTAAAGTGTAAATGTGTAAAGCGCTATACAAATAAATTTGACTTGACTTGAAATGCTACACGGCTATCTTAAGAAATTCATTCTTTAAAAAACAGTGGTTTTTGAGTACAGATTGATACTATATTATTTGTGTAGGTCCTTTACAAGCATGAAGGGCAGTCTGTCTTGAAGATACTGGAGAAAAGCAAGACCTCCATCACTCTGCCGTTACCCAAGGACAATGGTTATGTGGTTTTGGAGATCCGCTCTTGGGGAGATGGAGGAGATGGAGCAGCCTATGAGACCATAGTGTCTCGAGACTCAGGTATGTGGTACGAAGAGTAGTTAGGAGTACTGGTTTTAGTAAAGGAACTCAAGAACTAGTGTTTAAGCACTAAATATGTTTCTGAAAGTCAGTGTGTTTGATCCACAGGCACTGGAATGATGGTCCAGGACAGCGCTGGCACTTCAGGACCCCTCTGTACATCTGTTCTTGTGGTCACTGCACTCGTTCTCATTGGCTCGTCAGGACTGTGATGTTAGCCAATGATAAGTTATTTCTTATTAATATCACAGAGTAAGGAGCAGGGTTTCCTCACGTCAGAATGGTTGCGTGTGGTGCAAAGTTTTGGAAATGTGAGAGGTGGAAGATTCTTTTGTATAAAAAGGCTTTTTTACAAGGATGACTGGTCATTGTGGAATACAAAGAGAGTTGTTGTGGGAGACTTTTTGATTGTGTTATCATTTTAGACGCTTGCCTTATGGAAACTCAAACTTGACTGGTGGTCATGTCAACATTTGGTTGTAGTTTCTAAAATTCAACAACAGCTCTGACTTGTTGATTTCCTTGTAGATGTAAATGCACATAGATGTATTGTTGACATTCCATACTGGATAGAACAAAACCTTTTTTAATACGTTGTTGCTACTTCATGGCAGCATGTGGACCGCAAAATGATCCAAATGAGTGTTTACCTTTTTTATTTGTTCTTTTCATTTTTTTTGTGACTATGTAATTGGAAGCAAGAGCGGATCATGATTTTTGTTAAGTCTTTTGTATCGGTGTTGAATGATTGTAGCATTCTGCCTTTCCCTCAGTGTTGTAGTTTTTAAAGATGAAAGGTTTCATGAACGCAGCGGTACAACAGAAGCTGATTTTTGTGTGGTTGTTAAAGTGGGCTTGTCTTGCCAAAGTTATCGCTCTGTTATCTCACTCATTATTATTATTATTGCCTTTATCCTATGTCTTTTTTCTCAAGGCTTACATAAACATGACGTCCGTGGGCTGTTACTTTCTTTCTTGACACGGTACAAGAGCGAGACGCTGGACATTGATAATACTGAAGATAACAAAATCAATACAGTGACAAACAAGTTAATTATTATCCTATAATATCATAATTTATTAGTTTTCATCTTGGAGGCTGCCACTAATGGTGGAATCCTGGTCATACTTTAAGTGAAAAGGTTCCATTTGGCTTAAAGCATTAGAAAACATGTGGCTAACATTAGATTATGTGGGTCCTAGTGGGTCTCGGGTCTTTTTAAAGTGTTTGGAGGCCCCTGACAGTCTGACGTCCCAGGACACTTGCCTGGTCCATAATCCAGCTCTGCCTGCGAGATACACATGAAGCCATATCATAGATTTTTTTTAATGTTAATATTATTTTTTTAATTAATTAAGACTAATCTAAAAATTCTTTCAATACTGTGGCATGAACTAATAAAGTACAAACTGAAATGCACTTTCAGTGTAGCAGGTCAAATCTAACAGTATTAAAATCATTCCGTGTAATTCTACAGTTCTTTAAAGTTGTTGCATCTAATTTCAGTCTGACAAAGAAATCAAGAAGGTAAAATGTCTGATTTTATGTTTTAATTTTGTGTACATTTCTTTATTTTCTCTCCTCTGCATTGCTTTTTATTGGTGCCCGTTCAACAGGGTGATATTTCTTGTAATTATATATTTTCTATTTAATGTATTTATTTAATTTTCTATTTAACATGCATCAAGTTGTTATTGTAAATATTGCCATTTTCTGCGTCTGAGGATTGCTTGATAGTTTGAGCTCCTTCATTCGTTTTTTACTGCTTCTCTAACACCTTCTTTATGGGATTTTAACTGTATATTAATTCATGGATCACTCACTGGAATTTAAAACACTTTTAGCCAAAAGCTGTGACACATAGCAGCCTCATCAGTAGCTCTTTAGTGGTTCTAGTCCCAAACCCTTGTAGCAGTCGGGTAAATGTTACACTTTCTGAATGTAGAAGCACTCAAAAGTCATATTAGGACTATGAAACCAAAACTAATGTTCTCTTGTCCTTGCATCTGTTTTGTACTTCTCTTTCAAGTGATTTTTAATTGCATTATGAGTGCACTATGTACAATTCCACGACTCTTTTATCTCATAATTTCCTTAATTTCTGAAAGAATTGCTGTGTTTCACATTGTGTAGTTTGCCCTCTTGTGTTGAATCAGGGCTGTGTCGCTCACAACTCAACAAACAATTTCCGAAATGGCTGTATGTGTGCTTACATGAGTCGAATGACACGCTTGTAGTTTCACTCTGAAGGTCACTCAGGTTGTGATGTCATGTTGTCTCTTCGAATTACCATGTTCCCCATTTGTTGTAAGGTTGAGCCTGTCCACTGTGGACTGAATGTGAATAATGCACCACTTGTAAATATTCTTCAATAAAAAAACATTTTGACTGTATTTGAAGAAACTATGTTTGGTTTTTAGTGATTGACATGCATACACGTGTACACGGTTGACTAAGATATACCATGTTTATGAAACAGGGTCATATTAGTCATACATAAAGCACAATGCCATGAAATATGAATAAAAACGTATACAGATGTAAGCCAACATGCCTACATGAGCATGCTTTTTTTCTAATATTAGTGTTCTGCCTATTTAATCTTAATATAAGAAACAAAATTGGTCACATCTTAACATTCACATTTTTATATAATGTGACTATAATTAAGGTATTACATTTTATGATACTAATTCTGTCTATTAGCCAATAACAACCTCAAAGATAATACCACCTTACCGTAACGTGCCAGTTATATTACTAGCTATTAATTTTATTGCCCAATTCTGGTGAAGTTAGCACTTATCACCTGTACTTTGGAACTATTAATAATGTATAAGTATACATGATCATGAACAGATTTTCACCAAACTGCTTATTCCCAGTGCAGCTGACAGGTAAAGAGACCAGTTTTCAGATGTCTCATTCTTTTCTTTATAAATGATATTTATGCGCACACACCACTTTCCATATGGCAAAACTTGGCATGCTGGTGAAATTGCTAATGCAATTTCATTTATTATTTTTACAGCTCTGTTTCTGAAGAATACTGGTTTGGATCAAGACCAAAATGGCCAAATTAACTCTTTTAGCAGGTATGTTCCATATTAAAGATATGTATTTACTGAAAGTATGTTAGTTTATTTTTTATGTGTAATCATGTTGTCTTTTGCATAGGACTGGGCATCTTGCTTACAGTGCAGATTGGTAAGAACCTTCAATAATTTCTTTGTCAAATATATAACCAATAAAATGACTGCATAAAGATCCATAATAAATATTCCTGGATGATGAGTATAGACAAAATATGACTGTGGAGCTGTGAGCTGTTAATAATATCATCATTTCTGATAGCGGCCTCTACAAAGCTGGTGTGCTACATGACCAACTGGTCCCAGTACAGACCTGGCAATGGGAAGTTCTTGCCAGACAACATTGATCCGTTCCTCTGCACTCATGTGGTCTATGCTCTGGCAAGCATCAACTACAGAAATGAAATCACCACCGTCGAATGGAATGATGACGTGCTGTACAAGTCACTGAATGACCTGAAACAAGTGTAAGCAATATACACAATGCATGAAAAACCATAATTGCACAAATGAATTCATACCCTTTTGTGATCTATTTTTGAGACTGCTATTGAACAGTTGAACTGATCGATTTCATATTGTTTGATTTTTTTTTAAATAGAAATCCTGCATTGAAGACCTTGCTGTCTGTTGGAGGATTGACCAATGGCGTCAGTCCGTAAGTGGAACACAATATATCTGTGACATTATAACATGACATTATAATATAAAGTAAAATTCTAAAAAATGTACATATATTTTGAATAAATTACTTTTTTTTTTTTTTTTTTATCATAAATCCCCAGCTGCCAACCCAAAACATTAAACGAGAGTTGCTTAAACATGTCTCTTTTTGCACTTTAGATACATTGGAGTGGTGTCCACACCAGAGACCCGCAAGACTTTCATCCGTTCTGCATTGTTGTTCCTGCGTCTCCATGAATTTGACGGTATGGACATTGACTGGCAGTACCCTGGTCACAATGGCAGCCCACCAGACGACAAGCAGAGGTTTACTACATTCCTCAAGGTCAGAAGACTAGAATGTCAATATGATGCACTTTTATTTCCATTGATAAAGCAAATGACTTTCGGTCTGACCATGTTCCTGTTGTTTGAAAATTCTCAGGAACTGAGAGAAGCTATTGAACAGGAGGCCGTAGACACGAAGAAAACTCCTCTGGTGCTCTCATGCAAAGTGTCCGGCATCAAGTCTACTATTGATAAAGCTTATGAGATTGCTGAAATTTCAGGGTATGTTTGGTAGTTTCATCAAGCTACAATAATGTGTATCCATGAAAGTTTTTTTTTTTTACTTTCTCCTTCTTTTTTTATCATTATAGTTTGTTGGACTTTTTGACCATCATGTCTTATGACTACCATGGCCACTGGGACTCCTTAACAGGGCACAACAGTCCCCTTTTCCGCAGCTCCATTGACAGTGGGAACGTCTTTGACCACAATATCGTAAGCTCAAAACCCATAAATTCAAAATCCCATCAATCCGTCATATGTAATCTGAGATCTCTTAGCACATCCCTATCTCTCTTATACTTAGAACTCCTCTGTGGCTTCCTGGCTCAGCAGTGGAGCCCCCGCTGACAGGCTGCTTCTTGGCTTCCCCACATTCGGACGCACATTCTTGCTCTCCACATCGCAAACAGGTCTCGGAGCCCCAGCCAAAGGCCCCGCTGATGCCGGACCCTACACACGCGAAGCAGGCTTCTGGTCCTATTATGAGGTTTCAACACGCTACTTTTAACTTTGATCTAAAACACGTGTTCTCAACTGGGTTTACTTCAGAAAACATCAAGTGGCACTTAAATCATGACTAATTTGTGAACTAAATATGTTGTATATTATTTTGCATACAAATAAGATATTTATTTGTAAGTGAATAACTACTATCAAAGTCAAATGTTTAAATTAGCGACTCTTTCTCCTGGTTGCATTGATATGCCAGTAGGTGGCGACAAGTGACCATTCTAAATAGTTTCTAAAGATGAGTGAGTCATTGAATCATTCATTCAATTTGTTTAAAAACACTGATTCGTTTTGGAACAAAACAAGTGATTGTATTTATGAGTAAGTCATTGAATCATTCTCTCAACCAATTCGTTCAAAAAACACGATTCATTCAGGAACACCATTACTTTGTTACTCAGCGACTGTGCTGTTGTTTTTAAACTATTTTCACTGATGTAGCAGAAATAGAAAAAGTAACTGGCAATATGATAAGGGTTTAGTTTCTAAATGTGTCTTGAATTGTAAATATTTTATGCTCTCTGTAGTCGGTAATTCACCACTCAAAACACACAGTGATCGGACTAATCTATGTAACCTTTGAAAGAGAAAAATGAATGAGTGTTGTTTGGTTCACAGATTTGCCCCATGGAATCAAGTGTCACTATTGAATGGATCGATGAGCAGATGGTGCCCTATGCAGTTCAAGGAAATGCCTGGGTCGGATTTGACAACCGTGAAAGCTTTACTGCTAAGGTAAATCAACTACTGTTTTCCAGAATTTAAGGCAATGAAATGTTTGACAAACTTCTGAAAAACTTTCCTTAATATTTGCTTTAACAGGTACAGTATCTTAACTCCTTAAACTTGGCTGGAGCTTCAGTGTGGACCTTGGATTTGGACGATTTTGCTGGCCGTTTCTGCAACAGCGGAGCTTACCCTCTTGTCAACCATTTGCGCAACTCACTAGGTAAGAACTTTAGACTATAAAGACCATTACATTTATTCTGTCTTCTGTTATATGTTTTAATGTGATGCTGAATGTCTTTTCAAAGGTTTCTCACCCAAGCCCACCACTACACCACGTCCCACCACGACCGCTGACCCCATCGCCTCTTTCTGTGTTGGTAAACCAGATGGCCTGTACCCCAACCTTGCTGATGAGACCACTTACTTCCACTGTTTCCGTGGAAACACATACCTGCAGAAATGCCAGCCCGGTCTGGTCTTTATTGACAACTGTAAATGTTGTGATTGGCCTTGAGCTCAAGTTCAGATCTGCTCTTCCTGTTCAATAAAGCTGTCCAGGAGTCTCCTATTGTTGTGATGTACCTCTTCTTCCAACTATCCAATGCTCATGATTTGGGAAAAAAGTATGCATAGCCATACAGAGTCATATTTTCCCTCAAATTTAAGAAGTCATAATGTCCTGTTCAATATAGTCTAGTTTCCTCTTGTTGTCGTGCAGCAAAACAATGTCCTCTTTTTTCTTTCACTTTCAATAAAATATTTATAGCAATCTGACTTGTTAACTCTTCCTTAAACTGATCATCTGAAAGTAAAATAGTGACAGACCTTATGTATGAATAGCTTTATGAAAGTGTGAAGTTTCACAAATATGGAGTTTTATAGACCTGAAAGGTAAGGGCAGAAGTGCCATCATTCATATTATGTGCACCATCCATCAAGGCAAGGCAAGTTTATTTATATAGCACATTTCATACACAATGGTAATTCAAAGTGCTTAACATAGAGGACATTAAAATATTAAAAAGAAATAAGAACAATTAAAACAGTTTAGAATAAAAAAGTAAAATACAGTACAAACAGTCGGACGAACAGTGGCACAGTGCTCATTCAGTAAATGCACAGCTAAACAGATGTGTTTTGAGTCTGGATTTGAATGAGACTACTGTAGGAACACATCTGATCTCCTCTGGAAGCTGGTTCCAGCTGTGGCTAAAAGCAGTCTCTCCATGCTTAGAGTGAACCCTTGGTTTTTCTAACTGATGTGATCCTAATGATCTGAGTGATCTGTTGGGTTTATATTCAGTGAGCATATCTGCAATATATTGAGGTCCTAGCCCTTTGAATGATTTAAATACCAGTAATAATACTTTAAAATCAATCCTAAATGTAACTGGGAGCCAGTGTAAAGACCTGAGGACTGGTGTGATATGTTCAGAATCCTGGCAGCAGCGTTCTGTATGAGCTGCAACTGTCTTATGGTCTTTTTAGGAAGGCCAGTGAGGAGTCCATTACAATAATCCACCCTGCTGGTGATAAAAGCATGCACAAATTTCTCTAAGTCTTGACTTGCAATATTTTTCAGATGATATGCTGATTTAGTTATTGCTTTGACATGACTAGCCTACTGAAAGGTCTGACTCTAGAGACACACCAAGATTCCTGGGTAACACTTTATAATACGGTTCCTTCGTTAATGAATAACTACACAGGAACAAATGAGTAACACAATATTAACAATCTAGTAACTACTATTAACTAACAAGAAATTCTGATTAGCGAATTAGTAAGTAACAGCGCACAGATGAAAGTGGTAGTTCACTATTAACTAATTGATAACTACTTTTTTTTTAATGCTCTCCAGAGAAGATTAATAGTTCATGCAAAACTAATCAATAACTAATGCAGGACAAATGACTAGCACTACATTAACATTAATAACTGCTGTAAACAAATACACAAGGTTTATCAATATGTAATAGCATAGCAGACTTATGATTTGGGAAATAATTAGCCTATGCTCTCTCCTAGAGAACTATTTATCAACTAAATAATTTTAAAGAAATGGCTTTTTAAATGCAGTAGTCGGGACCTACTTGTCCTGTAGTGATTCAATGCCAGTCCAGAGGAATGCCAGAAAATTGGCCAGAGTCACGGTGACGGCTGGAACATATTGAGTTATCGGCCATCCAAATACCATATACAGTGATTTTATTATTTAACCTATACCTCGAAAAAAAAAAGATTTTATTAATGTCTCCTACCTCATACGTGTGTGCAAATATCTTGTGAAGGATTAGAAGATTCTACACTTTAGGATTGGCTTTTCATGTAAGAATCATGATAACTAACTAGTAATGACTCAAGTGTTACTACATACTTCTAAAGGAATGACTAATTATTTGGATCCGTATTCTAAAGTGAAGATCATGGTAACTAACTAGTAATGACTCAAGTGTTACTACATACTTCTAAAGGAATTACTAATTTTTTGGATCCGTATTCTAAAGTGAAGATCACGGTAACTAACTAGTAATTACTCAAGTGTTACTACATATACTTCTATGGGAATTACTATCTAAAACTTCACCAAAAACCTCAAAAGCTTAAAAGAATTAGTAATTCCTTTAGAAGTATGTAGTAACACTTGAGTCATTACTAGTTAGTTACCATGATTCTTACAGTAGTTCTCTGGGAAGCATTAAAAAAAGTAGTTATTGATTAGTTAGTGAACTACCACTTTCAGCTGTGCGCTGTTACTTACTAATTTGTTAATCAGAATTTCTTGTTAGTTAATAGTAGTTACTAGATTGTTAATATTGTGTTACTCATTTGTTCCTGTGTAGTTATTCATTAACGAAGGAACCGTATTCTAAAGTGTTACCGATTCCTGACTTGATTTTTAGTTGTTAGACCCCTAGCGTCAATGTATGCATTCACCTTGAGAACTTCATCTTTGTTTCTAAACGCAATGACTTCAGTTTTGTCTTTGTTTAACTGAAGAAAGTTTTGGCACATCCAACTGTTTACTTCATCAATGCATTGGCACATGGAGTCAATGGGGCTGTAGTCGTTAGGCGATAGGGCTAAGTAGAGCTGTGTGTCGTCTGCATAGCTGTGGTGGGCAGTTTGGTTCTTTCTCATTAGTTGGGTCATTGGGAGCATGTACAGGTTGAATAGGAGTGGCGCAAGAATTGAGCCTTGAGGGACTCCGCATGTCATGGATGTCCACTCAGACTTATGGTCTCCTATACTCACATAATAACCTCTCAATTGACCCTTCGCTAAGCCCCGCCCTCCTTAGTTACTGTTGCTACGCCTGTCAAGCTTTCACGGCTGCCACGTCTATTACAGTGTGAATGCACCGGTGTCAGACATTCCCAAGGAGATATTTAGTCATTTTTGGCGAACAAGTGAAATATCTGAGAGAGCAATACAAAAGGGACAGCAGTATGCATTCGAGGGATATATACACGACATAATATGCAACCGATTAGAGAATAATTTCATCAAAATTGAAGCTAAAGCCAATAACGTTAGGTCCCAGCGCAAGTGTGACAGATTGAAAAGGAACATGTACATTGAAAAGGAACATGTGTATTTTAAAAATGCATAAGTCTGTGTACACTGTAATATATAATTATATATTTGCTATTTTGAATATGTAGAAAAGTTTATAAAATATAAACATGTAGTTTATAGTTATTCTGAGTTTTTCTGTGATCAGTTAATTGGGACGATAAGTTGGACGATCGATTGTTCTGGTCTGCGTGAACACTAGGGGGAGAGCTCGCGGGATTTCTCCATTCTACATAAAGCTTGCAGCGGAGAAACAGCGAGTGCGAGTTTTCTGTTTTAATCTTCTTCCCCTTTTCAGGTACGAAGTATAACGAGTAGTCAAAATACTTTGGTATGATGCTATAATATGTTTAAGAGTATGCAGACGCGAGTATTATATTGATGGTGTGTTTGAAATGTTGAAATAGTTAGTTCAGAAATGCGCGAGTTCAAGACTCCATTTTAAGCATGTTGGTCATGGCGTTAGGCCTATATAATGGCGCGAAGCTCGTATGTTCAATATTTGTGTACTGAAGGTGTAATTCGGTTTATTTAGTGCTGATTTGCTGACTTACTGAACAAAGATGAATGTATTGAATATGAAAAGTTAATTGAGAATTTCAGATGCATTTTCAGCTAAAATAACTAGCTGAAATAGTACATTTACGTGCTTATGACTTATTTGCCATATAGTTAATATGCATTTATGTCTAAAAAGAGAAAGATTTAAAAGAGTTGATTCTCAGGTAACTGTAAAATGTTTTATTGTATTTTTTGTTACTTTATATAGTGTTATGGTTTTCAAATAGCCTATTATAAAGAAGTGTACTCATGTAATTAAATGTGTACGGTACAAATTGTTGAATTATGTTAAGAAAAATGTCAATGAGGTTAATTTGGAAAAGAACTGTTTAATGTCAATTACAAAAAGATTCTACATAAAGCTTGCAGTGGAGAAACAGCGAGTGCGAGTTTTCTGTTTTAATCTTCTTCCCCTTTTCAGGGGTACAACATTTTGGAGGCACCGCTGGGATATACTCTTCGGAGGGCAGTCGTCACTTACCTGGCCGACACTTCCTGATGCAGTACATCCCCTAAAACAACCCAGATCAACAGTGGAGAGTGGATAGAGTTCCTGCAACAAAGGCAAGACAGAGGCAAAGAACCATAAACCTGAGGCCACAGAGATCATCAGGTGAAACAAAAGTTCAGTTAGTCTCAAGTAAGCCCCAACTCAGTGAAAAGGCCCACTCTATTGTCAAAATGGAGACAACAGTGCTAGAGGAAATGCAAGTCGAAGTTATCGCCATGCTAAACCCACTACCCAAAGACAAGCTTCTTAGTATTTGTGAGTTCCTGAAAATAGCAGACCAAGAGAATGTTTCATCTAAATCTCGCATGTCTTTGATCTCTCATATCCTTCGACGTCTCGAAGAAGACATGACGGATCTAGAAGATGGCGGCATGTCTGTACTGTTAAGCCTGAGAGATCAAATTACAGAAGTAAATATAGCCACTGAAAAGGAGACCACAGAACCAAGTGAAGTCACAGAAAAAGATAGGTTGCAAAGGGAGTTAAATGAGCTAAAAAGCGCAATGAAACAAAAATTGAGTGAAATTCAACAGTTGGAAGAAGTGAACACAAAACCCAGCATTGTCCAGCCTCAGCTTCAAATTGCTGCACACCCACAACATTTAGTGAATACCCAACACCCCAGCCCACCTTGGCACAAAGATTTCAAAATTTCTGGACAAATTGGTGACCCAGGTCAAAAAGAGAAATTAACTTTTTCAAGTTTAGCACACCAAATTGAGAACGGTTTGAGCAGAGGCTACCCGGAATGTGAGATTGTCGATGCAGTCATCCGCGCCATTTCCCCAGGCTTACAGTTAAGAAGCTATTTAGAAGGAAAACCAAACCTGACTCTACCTACCTTAAGACGAATCCTGCGCTCTCACTTCCAAGAAAAAAGTGCAACTGAACTTTATAAGCAACTTACCTCTGAATGC